GATATTATGTCTTTGCGAAACTTGGCAATGTCAACTGACTTAAATTTCCTGTAAGTGACGTTAGTTATCTTTGCTGTGGGTTTTTTGATATTTAGATGGCCAATAACAGAGGCGTGGTCAGAAAAGTATCTATCGACTAGAGGTACAGACTGAATAATGTTACTACTTTTACGCGTGATAACAAGATCAAGGGTGTGTTGATGTATATGAGTAGGCTTATCAACATGTTGTTGGAGACCCAGAGATTCGATCAGATCTAGAAATTTCTTTGCATCAACATCATTAGCCATTTCAACATGGAGATTAAAATCTCCTACAATGAGTAGATCTTCCCTTGAGAGTATTAATGATTCCATGTAGTGAACACAAGGAAGGGCTTCCTGAGCTTGGCCTCTCTTTGGATGTTTTCCAATAGCAAACCCTCTAAAAAATGAGACGTTTGTAAATTATAGAGCATTTTCTGCTATATTCAGCTCAGTCAAAAAGACTTAAGCTGTAAAATGATTATTTTTTTCCCTTTCGTTATTGCAACATTTTGAGAATTAAAGTAGTAATTGTTGGTGCTTTTCTCAAAATGATGCAATAACGAAAGGGAAAGAAATAATCATTTCACAGACTTAGTCTCTTTGACTGAGCTTAATATAGCAGAAAATGACATTTAACAATTCCTGCATTACAATTTGTAATTATTATCTATGTTATTTATTATCACCAGGGGGGCAAAGGGTTCAATGTATTCGTATAGTGCCCAAAAGCTGGATGGGAAGAGACAAAGAAACAAATAAAAAAACACAGCAACAATGAAAGTGTACCTTCTTCATCCTCTTCAGTCTTCAAGCATTCAGCAAGTGATTTCAAGTTAGAAACAATCTCTTCATATGAAATATCACTCTTGAAACACAACTGCATCTCATAAATTAGCTATAAATGGAAGGAGTATATATAAATCAAATATCGAAAAAGAAATGTCAAAAACAATTAAAATCAATTACCACTTGCTCATTTTTCAGAAAGGGGTATTTCTGGAATGTAGCATCAACCACATTTTTTCCATCAAGTGCCTTGATGTAATTCTGGCGCCCATAGAACGTGAGTTTCTGCAACTCATAAATATTTGTCCAATTAGGGTTCTTTTTCTTCATCTCCTTACTGATTTCTCTTAAATGATCATCTTCATCTTCTTCAGCGTGATCCACTAATAACATTTCTTCGTCTTTCAAAGTCTTGCTCCGTTTTTTACCTTCATAAGCATTGTTATAATGTCTCTTGCGTAACAACTTCAAAACTGTAGCCTAGTATCAAGAAAGGAAGAAATATGCAAATGGGCAATGAAAATTGCTGTAAATTACAGTAAACTACTACAAGTACAATATACCAGTACACTGCAAAATCCTTCAGACAAACATCTCAACCTAATCAGCATATATTGCATCATTCAAACCAGTAAATAGACACATGGTAAGAGCTATTGGTATAGGATGTGCATATAACAATTAAAGATAAAGTATGGAAAATGTGATGATTAGCTTTTCTCCAGGCTATTAATACATAGTAGTTAGTGCAGGGTTTGTACAGTCTTGAAAAGTCCTTGATTTTTGACGAAAGTCCTTGTAAAGTCCTTGAACTGGAATATTCCTTAAAAAGTCCTTGAAAAGTCCTTGAATTTCCTACCAAAAATTCTGTACGAACCCTGTAGTGGTAAACCTTCCCTTCACAAACCAGGAATGGTAATAACACAATATTTTCAGTAGTAATTTTACATTTTGTAATTTCCTACCCAATAAGGGAACACAACATCTTTACTTGAGTTTGGTGGCTCAGGGTCTCTCATCATTGGCAGTGTTTTGCATATTTTCTTTGCTGCCAGTTGAAACTCTTTAGGACTTATTTTATTGCCATGTGAAGCAACTTGAATGCAGGTTACACATTCTCTGATGAACTTATTTCTTACTTTATCATCAAGTTGTTTTCTGTTGCTTTGAAAATTCTTTAACTGCTGAGTGACTGGTATTACCAGTCTTTTAAGAAAATCCTCATCACGACTGTTATCTTCATTAGAACTTTTTACAGACTCAGTGCAAGAAGAAGATGGGCCTTTATGTACATTGCTTATCGATGCAGATAATTTTCTTCTCTTGGGAACTGAAGACGAGTCACTCTCAATACCAGCTATGGGGGAGTCAGTAAAGCTGGACTCAGTAGAAATTGAAGATGGGCTTTTATCGACATTTGTAGATGTAGATAATCTTCTCTTGGGGGCTGTTGACTGCAATAAAGTGCCATCATTGAGATGCATTCAACAAGGACACAAATAGGCTGCTAAAATCTTGACATCCAATACAATTAATAGCTTGCTGCACTTCCCAGCCACATGCAATCAACAAGACTTTAGTTTACCGACTACGATATGTGAGTTTTGGTGGACAGCAATCATAAAAACTATAAGCTTTTCTACGTGGCTGCGCCAGCCTCTTAGAAAAGCTTATGATGACGTCCACAGAAACTCACATATCGTAGTCAGTAAACTGAAGTCTAGTTGATTGCGTGTGGCTGGGAAGTGCAGTAATATACCTCAATATGCTGATTCCCAATCCTTCCTACAGAGATAGGATATGCATCATCTGGCTGCGAGTTGGGAACAACACCACAAGAGTCCTAAAATGAACAAAAAATGACAACTTGGCAAGGATGCTAAAAAGATTGCAAATGATAAATGTATGAAAGTGAAATTGAATTGTAATATATATAACATTGAATGATGTGTGGGAAAAGTGCAAAACAATGTTTTGGTGTAAGTTCCTTAAAGACAGTAAAACCCCATCAGTAAAAACTATAATGATGATTTCTTTGGAGACTATACACTTTTTGTAGTTATCAAAACAAATATCAAATCATATAATATTGACTGAAGCTGCATGATTATATACCTCAAGAGTTTCTTTTCCACGCTGAAATTTAAAAACAATGGAAGTTAATTTTAAGTCCATCAAGATGACTATGAAAAAGGATACAAACCACAAAATTATATATACAAATGAATAATCTAATATGTTATATGCAAGCAAATTTGTTTTTAAAAAATATGAACAAAACTTTAATTTAGCTCTTATCTTACCAGATCCTCAATAAGGTCCCACAACTTCTTTCGTGTCAGGAATGAAGTGGGATATAAGTCTGTGAGATCTGCCCTTGTGAACCGAATTAATAGTGATCCCTCAATGTTGTTATCTATTCAAAATGGAGACAAGATTTAAGTGATTTCACATAAATTATACTATTTTGATCAGAATTATAATTATTTTTTTGATAACTTGACCCAATTATAATATTTCAAACAGGGGGAGAGTGCTGATACATTACCGCTCTTTGCATTGCTATGCGGCCACCCCAAACTAAAAGTCACGACATGCAGTTGGCAATAGACTACCGTCAATCAAACTCGCCAAGTCTTTTGTGTGCCAGAAACAAGCAGATTACATTTTGCTTGAATGAAAAAGTGCAGAGTTGATATTTATCTATAAAAATAAATCGGTTAGACTCGGAAAATTTGAATATTTTCATTCGTCGAGTTTGATTGACGGCAGTCAAAAGCCAACTGCATGTCGTGACTTTTGTCTAGGGTGGCCGCGTAGCAATGGAAAGAGCGGTAACACAGGTTTTCCAAGCAAATTTTTCTTATCCTTTTTTTCTTATCCTTATCCAGTCTCCTACTTGATTTTTAGTCTTCTCAGAGTGAGACTGTAATAATGGTCCACTTTTACACTCGAGCTCTCACCAAAGAATTCCTATGATTAATCTAAATGAGGGGGTGAGGTGTAGGGTGTTTTTACTATGGCACAATGCAAAGTGGGCTTTTTACCGTGACTGTGAGAAGCTAATTTGACGTTATGAGATCGAAGTTCATCCATTGAAATCATAGCAATCCTTGCATGAAAATATTCCATATTAGCACCAAAATAAAAAGGATATCCAATACATTGTACCGGTATCACTATTTTTGAAATTTATTCGATAAAATACCTATTTTTTGGGGTTTCAACTTCTCCCCAAGAAATGCCCGCGATAAAATTTAGAAGTCTTTTACTTACCTTTTAAAACTTTTGTTTCGTGTTGGTCAAAACTGCGTTTCTGTAAATAAATTATAAGCTCTTCAACGGAAAAGTCCATAACCTGTTCCATTACGAGAAACGAACAACGACGAAGAAAGAATACAAGTTAAGAAGAAACGACCGTACTTCGTTCTGGCCCGCGTTTGCTGGAAGAACCCGCCTTTTGCTGCCCGGCTACGAACTAACTCATTGGCTAATCTTCACACGTGATATGATAATTATCATAAATAGCGGTAAAAGGTTAAGGAAGGTCCGGCGCTATTGGCTAATGCACACTAGTACCCAGGCGTTCTCGGTCTCGGAAATGTAAACGCGGGAAGATTGAAAAATGGCTTGGAAATGTTTATTTTGTGCTGGTTTTACAGCTTTATATCTGAGTTTCTTGCTAACTCACCTGAATACCATGCATGCAAAAGAAAGCAATATTGAAATAAGATGTGGTCTTGATGATTGTGATAGCACTTTCTCAAAAACAAATACATTTGTACGGCATGTTCAAAATTCGCACAGGACTCTGCTCTTCACTTCAGATGCTGGAAACAACAAAGGACCAACTTTGACCCAAGGTAAAGAGATATTGATTTTTTGACTTCTAGAGATATACATTTATATGTTTCGTAGTTGAGTTTAAGACAGAGCTGAAGTGGTGGTTAGTAGTCAGTTGCCTGTCAATCATAGGGTGTGATGTCACAGGTCATCCATAACTTCATTAATTTTTTATTTAAAGAGTCAAGCCCTGTTAGCCTTAGCCTTATTTTAATATACTAGGTGTTTGTTAGCTTTGATTATAGCATTGGAAGGTTGGCAGGGGGGAGGCTGGTAGGAGGAAGTTGGCATGTAAAGGTTGATAAGGGGGAGGGGAGGTTGAGGGGGAGGTTGATAATTATCTTGTAAACTGGGTAGGGCCAGCCATAAAAGATTTAGAAGAAGTTATTATGTGTGTTTATATATAGAACCAGATGAAGATATCTACACTCTTTTTTAATGCTTACTTTTTGTGACATTACCACATCATTAAATATTATAATTTAATCATTTTATGTTTTCTGTTTGTTAGAAGAAAATGGTTATGACTTCAGCCAGCATCAAGGAGCATCTGATACTGATTCATTGAATGAAAATTGGAATATTGATGAAAATGACGTTGATGATACAGAAAACTATATCCTCAATGACAACAATTGTGCCAGTGGTAATCATGAGCTGAATGAACAGGATGTGTCATTTCGTGACCGTGCTAAGAACTATTTAATAAAAATAGAAGAAAGTCACCGGCTATCAAATAAGGCAACACAGAACATTGCTTGTGTGACTTCAGCTTTGTTGGAAGAAGCTTGTTTACAGCTAGAAGAAAAGGTCAAGAGATCTTTGGATGATGCAAATATAAACTATGAAGATCCAGGAATAGCAGAAGCCTTTGATGAGTTTGCTTATCCATTTCAAGGACTGGGAGAAATGTCAACGGATTGCCTGAAAAATGAACCAAATTTTGTTGTAAGTTCAATGTTGTCTTTTCATTACTAATTGTACAATCAATGAATGTACATACTAGATAGGCATGTTTAGGCTTGTGATTGAAACAAACAAAAATTACAAACTGTCACCTCCCTGTTTTTTCCCTGTTTTATAAGCTGTGCTTTATTCCATTAATTTTCTTAAGTAAAAAATAAAATCCTAAAGTTATGTGAAATAAATCTTTTGGATTTTGCAATGGGTTAAGCTGTTTTCATTTTTTAAATTTCTATTCTACCATATTGACTAAATGATTGGACTGTTCTAACCATTCCTTAATTAAAATCTTCTTGTTTGATATTAGGAGCCAATGAAAATTGTTCTTGGAACAAAAATGGCAGTCAAAAAAAGAAAAAAGAAAAAACAAATTTTAACAGTTGAAGAAGTCTACTATTACATTCCTGTGCTCAAAACTCTTGAGACCCAGTTGAATAGTCCTGGAGTTCTTGCAGCAATGTTGGATCCAGATGCACATCAGCAAGAAAATGTTCTTAGAGATTTTAATGATGGGAGTTTAGTCCAAGAACACCCATTATTTGGTTGGGATGACTATGCCTTAAAGCTACTTATGTACTATGACGACGTCAATGTTGTAAATCCACAAAACAACAAAGCCCACCAGTTGGTTTTTTTTTTACTATATACTGGCAAATATCCCAATACAACTTCGCTCAAAGTTAAAGAGGATTCAACTATTTGCAATTATCAAGAAACAACATATTAAAAAATATGGCATAAATGAGATTCTAAAACCATTTGTTGAGGAACTGAAGACTCTAGGAACTGAACATGGGTATCCTTTTCAATTTCAATTTGGAATGTACCATCTAAGGGGTGCACTTTTAGCAGTTTTGGCAGATACACCAGCTAGCCAAGCAGTTGCTGGAATGAAGGAAAGTGTTGGAGGAGCCAGGAGAAAATGCAGGCATTGTATGGCCACATATGAACAAATGCAAGAGCAATTTTTGGAAGAACAGTTTACTTTGAGGTCTAAAGAAAAACATGAATATCAGCTGCAGAAATTGGAGAATGCCCCATCAAAATACCTTAAATCATACTACAGTAAAGCATATGGCATTAACACTAGATCCAAAATTCTTGAAGCACCACATTTTGATGTAACTCAGCAGCTTCCTCAAGACATTATGCATGTGTTTCTTGAAGGCATTTTGAGTTATCACCTAAAAAACTTTTTAGCACACTTTTTTTCTGAAACCACCTTAACTCTTGATCAGTTGAACAGTGAAATACGATCTTTCCCACTTGGATATTCCCAAAAGAAAAATAGACCAACTTTGATTAAGGAATCAGACTTACAATACTCATCATCTACTAACCTTGGACAAACAGCAGCACAAATGCATCTCTTGGCATATATACTACCATTCATTCTTGGTAAATACTCTGATTTAGATGATACAACTACTAATTGGGACTGTTATATGACTCTCTTGGAAATAATGACAATTTGTTTCTCATCTGTGATAGAGATTGAATCTGTAGTTTACCTAAGATGGTTAATTTCAGAGCATCTCAATCATTACAAGGAGCTTTATGATGCAAGAATAACTCCAAAAATGCACTACATGATTCACTTACCTTCATTGATAATGAAATTTGGTCCATTAATCCGCTCTTGGTGTATGCGTTTCGAAGCTAAACATTCTTACTTCAAAGGATTGTCAAGGGTTATCAAAAATTTCAAAAATCTTCCATACACTCTGTCTTACAGACACCAAAGCATGCAATTTGCAGAAAATGCTACAATATGCAGCAACCAGGTTCGTGACAGGCAGTCTTTAGGAAATGATTATCAACTGGGAAAATCCAAGGAAGTTTGTGATGAGGATTTACGAGCTCATATCAAGGATAAACTGAAGTCTTTTTATGATATCCAGTATGATAGAAGAGGTGGAATCTACAAACTTAGTACAGTGACTGTAAATAGCACACAATACATACCAGGAGCAAACACATTTTTAGTTTCGCACACAGATGATGATAATCCTGAATTTGGACAACTTCAAGATATATGGTTTGTTGAAGAGCATGGTGTTTTTTTGGTCCTTAAAATTATGGAAACAGTTGGGTTTTGTAGTGCACTAAATGCATATGAAATCAAGGATCCTGATTTGCCTCAAGGCCATGAGATTAAAGCTTTAGATAGATTGTCAACACCATGGATCTACCATTCTTATAAATTTGATAGTCAAGTTTTCATTGTTAAACGAGAACTTTTCGTCTAGTAGTTGACTTTTCCCAAGTCTTGCAAACTTAACTACATGAATACCAGAGCATCTTGCATTGAAATAGWACAAGACCAAAACAGTATGGCAAGACAGTTTCTTTCATTGATTTGCCAAAAGTTAAACAAAACATTGTTGTACGCACAGAGTTCAAATTTTAAGGCCTCTGTAAGGATTAAGGCCTTCTGTTGCGTACACTGACCCATGAGATTGTTACAGTTTATCCTATACTTCTATTGATATTGAGTAATATCTTTTGATGATCATGATACATACAAGTTTCTTTTGTATTCATTTTTTGCAGTAAAACAGTCATCTTGTAGTAGGGTCAAAATGACAGGAACTTRCAGTAAACTTGTCATCATATTATTAGTTTGGATTGATTTTCTATATTTTGTTATTGTTATTTTTTTATCTAAAAAATTGTCACTAAATTGCAACAGAATTTCAAATTATAATAAATTTAACTAACTGACTGTCTCAGAGTATCGATCAATGCATGCATAGGTTTGATGAATGAATTTAAATTGAGAGTATAATGCTTAGAACAAAAACACTCAATTTGAAATTGCTTAAAATAAGAATTCGTTTGCTTATTTTAAGACAGTATGCTCTTATTTTCTTGAAATAAGTACAAGAAGTTTGCCATTTTAAATTAAGAACTTTAGTATTCTTATATCAAGACTTAATTTTCTCGTATTTTAAGATGTTCATGTTCTTATTTCAAGATAAAGAATTCTT